GAGAGAGAGAGAGAGAGAGAGAGAGAGAGAGAGAGAGAGAGAGACGCAGGATAGGAGAATAAAGAAATGGGGCAGAGGGAAAGAAACACAATTCATCTCCTCCTCGAGAACAAAAACAGAAAACATCCAAATATCAATTTGTGATCTCTGGACAATTTCATTGGCACACAAGTCACCTACATAACTGTTTTTTCTATTACTTCAAAAATAAACATTAATTATCTACCATGTAAGAAAATCCTGTACAGCTAAAAATGAAGATTGTAATCTGTTATTCATTTGGACAGTGGGAAAAAAATAAAAAAGGACTACCTTGAGCAAAATCAGCAATTTCCTTTATAAAATAGATGCTTCTTTAACGCCCCCAAAACAGTGGTTTGAGTATTCAGACTTGCTCTTCTGCAATAGAAAGCACCTGCACCAAATCTTATAATGGGTTTGAAAAAGTGTAACATGTGATTCTAGAGGCTAAGTTCAAATCCTGTCACTCAAACCTTGTGTGAAGTCATCATGGCTGGAGATGGAGTTACTATATATAATTCTACTTTGGTAATATTGAAAACATTTTTTGAAAATTTACTGATTCATCCTGTTTCATTTTCTATGTTTGCACACACACACAGGCTGAGATGACGAGAAGATAAATAGCATGGTGGTTCTTCACTATCCGTAATATTATTTTAAATCATTTCAGAATTCAGCAGCCATTATATGTGGAGAATAAGATTCTTGCTAACTGCAACACAAGGTGCAACTGTTTAACCAAAATGTGGGATCCAGTGTGTGGAGACAATGGAATAGCATACATGTCAGCCTGCCTTGCAGGCTGTGAGAAATCTGTTGGAACAGGAATTAACATGGTAAACATCTTTTCAGTGTTGGAGGCTGATGTTATGTTCACTGCAATAATACGTGCTATGATCTAAGCCTACATCTTCTAAAACGATAAAATTAGCTTATGCTTAATATAGATACGATTACTTTTGTGAACAAATCACGTTACTTTGTATATACATATTTGACCTTACTGTTCTAGATGTTATGTAAAGTCTGGCAGAGTCTGAGAATTATTTTGTAATTTAAGAGCAATTGAGACCATTTTTCAAATTATTAGAGTTAAAATCCTCATAATGGGTGGTAGAGCTAGCTTAGCAGTAAGAACACTTGATGCACATTCAGTAAACTTGTTTGGTTCCTAGCACCAACAGAACAGCTCCCAATCCAGCTCCAGGCAATCTGACACTCAATCTGACCTTCCTCAGGCATTACATGCACCTGATTTAATACACAGAGATACAGAAGCACACACATAAACACTAAAATTAAAACTTTAAAATGCTTTGGACAAAGTCTGACCTTCTATGTAATAGAGACTCATGAAGTTAAGCCAGACTCAAACAAGTTGTACAGCTGAGGCAGGCAGAAAACTTATTTTTTTCATATTGCAAATCTATTTCATTTATTTATTTATTTATTTATTTATGGCAGGTGTGTATGTGTGTGTTGGAGGAGTGAGGTCGTTTGGTTGTCCTGCCCACCCAGAACCAAAATAACGACACAGAAACTATATCAATTAAAACACTGCTTGGCACAGTAGTTCTATATTCTTATTGGCTAACTCTTATATTAATTTAACACATTTATTAATATGTACATTTCCATGAGGTCATGGCCTACCAGCAAAATTCCAGCACATCTCTATCTGGCACCAGTTCAATGGTGTCTCTCGCTCGTTTTTCCTTCTCCCAGCATTCAGTCCAGTTTTCCCCGCCTAGCTAAGTTTTGTCCTAATAACAGGCAAAGGCAGTTTCTTTATTCGTTAACCAATAAAAGCAACACGTAGACAGAAGGACCTCCCACACCATTTCCCCCTTTCTGTTTAAACAAAAAGGAAGGCTTTAACATAATAAAATTACATAAATAAAACAATTATCAAGCAAGGATTACAGTTTCATTATTTATATATATTTTATCTTTTACCATAATTAAGGAAAACTATATCTATTCTTTAACTCCCTCAAAGACTCCAAAAGAATATAATATTACCTAAGTAAACAGGCAGGGCACTGCAAGCAACTTTCAAAACTCAAGAATTGACAGCGATATCTTGCAACCTGTACAGTCTTTTGTACCATTGGGGCATCAATATTCAGCCTACTGGCCCATAGTATCCAAGAGACTTTATCATTGATGCAGGAAATTTCAAAGACAGTTCCACATATAATGGCAGTTTGTCAGTAACTTTTTTATGTGTCTTACAGAATGTCTACCAGATTTTTTTCATGTAGCGGGAGCCCCAAAATAATGTTTTCACCTTTAGGCAAGTTCAGCCTTCATTTCTCTGTGGGTCCTGCATGCCCAGTTCAGCAGTCCAGGCAGGAGCAGTTTCTTGCCCAAATGGATAGCAAACCCCATAAGGAACCTCTTCAATGGCTATCATCCTCTTGAAGTAGATGGTGCCTCCAGGAGCAGATGTGTCTTAAGATGAAAATCTTAAGTTCTTATACATTTTAAATGCTACCTTCTGAAGGTTTCTGAAAAATTTGAATATCTAGCTAACTGAAATATATCTCTATCCAGCTAGAAAATCTAACTTACATCACTACAAGTTTGATTATAAGAGATGAATAACTAGTAACTTATATTTCTTAATTATATACTATATTTTTAAATGAGCTACACAAATACAATACCTTAATCAAGATCAGAAATACATAAACATATAACAAAATTGACATTAAATTTGTATCAATATACCAACTCCATATCAATGAAAATTATTCATCTCTATAGCATATCCCCCTTTAAATGTAAACAAACAGTTATAAAAAATTTGGAAATATGAGCATAATACTGCTTACAGCTGTTTGGGGATCTTCTTAATCGGGTCTTTCATGCTGTATCCTGTGTGCTAGGTTTATCTCAGTCAACAGTTGGGGGAAGTAATTTTTTGAGGGTGTTCACAGCAGCCTTTCAGAGGCTTATGCTCTATCAAGTCATATTTGTCTGAAAGCAATCCACAGGTTCTCATCTTCTGTGATAACAAAAAAA